TTTTTCTCTATGTCAATATCTTTGACGGTTTCTAGTTCCTACGTGTTCATTGGCTGGTTATTAATTTCCGGGAATCTGATTGGTTGTCGATTAATTCCAATCGATCTATTCAAATCACGTTGATGGTGTTACTAGTATGACTGTATATTCACTATTTAATACCGCTATGACAGGAGGATTTAGGGCAAATCGGATTGGATACCGAAAACATTACGTAGAACGTGTATACCCAGCGCTTCACTAGACACGGAACTGGCGTTGACTTATGCCACTGATGAATGTGAGTTTTTTTACGGTCAGCTTTTCGCGAATGATGGGAAGAGCTCCCACGGCGATCGAATTATAGACCCTGTAACGAACGAATGGTGGTCGATACTTTCTATTATATATTGCCGAGCGTGTGTCCGTGTGTGATTCGCGGCGAAACATGAACGGTGACCAAGCTGATCGGCAGATCTAAGTCGACTGCTGTGTGTATACTAGTATACTGACACCGGTTTTGATGAAAGGGACCAATGATTCATTGCAAGGTTGGTAGATCGCTTCTCTTGTGGGTTTTCTTGATATCACCCGCGATTATTTTGCGTTGAACGATGTACCTAAACGCTACGATTGCCGACTATCAAACGGACGTCTATGCGTACGACAAACTTAACTACAGCACTTCCAACAATACTATCGACGACTTCATCAACCCGTTCGCATCCATACTCTGGTTGAAAACCATTTTCATCCCAACTATTTTTGGCGTAATTTGCTTCAGCGGTCTCCTTGGTAACGGAATAGTTGTGTGCGTACTGATGAGGTACTCTGACTTAAAAACTGTACCCAACGTGTACATCCTGAACCTAGCGTCAGCCGATCTCCTATTCATGCTCGGAATACCGTTCTTAGCGTACCAATACACTGGTAAAACATGGTTGTTTGGTAAAGCCATGTGCAAGCTTGTGATGGGAATAGACGGCATTAATATGTTTGCAGGTATATTTACATTAACCGCTATGTGTATTGATCGATATCTGGCGATAGTCAACGCTATCGAGTCGATGACGTACCGAACGGTTAACTCGGCGAGACTTACTTGTATATTCATATGGATTTTAGCGGTCATGGCGACTCTGCCTCTATGGATATATGCCGACACTAAGCCCGGCCCCGCTGCAAGCGTCAGATGTGATATATATTTTGCAAACGAGGTGATCCACAACGCTTTTATAATCTACGGTTTTATTATCGGCTTTGCACTGCCCCTACTTGTCATCTCACTGTGTTATTTCCGCATCCTTATTTACTTGAACAGAGGCACGCCGTCAACGTACCGGACTAGTAAACGTCACAGTAAACGATCATCGCTCGGCCGTGCTGGAATCATTGTTATGCTAGCAGTGGCGCTATTTACTGTATGTTGGTTACCATTCTGGGTAATTCAATTCATTACTACGTTCAACGCCGCTCCAAATAATTTGTATTCCGTTGACTTTATCATCGTATATTATTCCTCGATGTGTCTGAGTTACGCCAACAGCTGTCTTAATCCAGTCGTTTACACGTGCGCGGGTGGAAATTTTCGTCAAAAGTTAATTCGAATGTGTTTAGGAAGAAAACGTATTGACTACTATACTAGTCATAATAGTTATTTTCGACGTTCTAGCGCATGCGTGGAGGATGTCGTATGCGAGCTACCCACTATGACTACTACGATGTCCTCACAACAGGTTGGTCTTATCACTTGTGCCAACGAAATAGTAGACAATCAATTATAGATGTGACCTTCTCATTTTTTTTATTTGTAACAGAATTTGTGATCTGAAAACGCAGTTGTTTTACAACGTTGCTAGGCTAAACTCAAGCGCACCGATTGTTTGTTTGTTTGTTTGTTTGTTTATTTGTTTGTTCGTTTGTCACGAATCAAGATAGGTTACCAGAAAATAAACACACATGTAATTTGAAGTTGGAATGAGCATGTCTCCTGTTCATCGTGTACATTTACTGTCATCGACTCGTCTAATGGTTCACCAATTCGCATGACAGCCAGGGATTTAATTTTTATACGATGACGGAAATAAATTGAATTACGGAATATGACCATCGCAGTGTGAAGCAACTTATAATAGCATGTTACCAGACGGAGTGGTATTTGACTCATTAATCACACTGGTGTATTCATTATGCGTGATTTATACCGATTATTTCCATAGACTAGAAAATGTATTCTAGAGAAGTCATATGACGTGGAATGTTACGCTGCAGAGTGGTGCATACTAATTCAGACAATAAAGAGATTGAGAGATCAACGCAGTCGTTTTTAACACAGAACTCTGTGTTTACAAGGCCTTATTATATATATATTATCGAACTATGACAGGGTTGGATGTCTTCTATTTAAGAGTGAGTTTGACATTTGCGATATTAATCCGATTTCGTTTTCGAGTTGATCCGACTAAGAAAAAAAAATGAAGACAAAAAACCTCTGGTGCACGAATCTGATTTCATTTTAAATCGCATATACATACCCACCTATCACGCGCATACATATATTTTAGCTTGGTTGATTCGAGTATAAATTCACAAGAAATGTCTCGTGTTCATAAAAATGGGGGCTCAGACACTACTATTTAATTGATCGCCAAACGACATTTACTAAAGTAATGATAACATAACAAGCGTATCATGAATGTCTTGCATCTTGTATCTTGGCAACTACTTGCAACCCTCACCAAACGATTGCAAACCACACCACACCAACCCCAACACCAACGGACGCCACATAAACTGTCTTTCAATACTTGTCCTACCATTACACGGTCGATTGGTTAGAAACGAGTTTGCGTACGCGATTGTTGTTTCTCTCACAATTTAGGGTCACGAAACCGCACTCTGATTAACATACCACGGATGATACGACCGTGACGTTGTCCAAAGTACAGCATTATAATGGTACAACGCGCACGTGGGGTGAGCTTAGGGTCGACATTTGAAATATCGATTTTTAAGTGATAGTCTATAAAAGTGAGATATATTTGATAAAATCGATGCGTACTATAAATTAGGAAAGGCCAAATTCGGAACACAGGTCCAAAATACCTACTTTAATTAATACAGTGCTGCTTGGGTATAATCAGCGGTGAATTTTCTGTACATTTTGAGCGACAAGTAGAATTGATTGAAACCACTTATACACCGTATTTGTATAATATAATTTTCCCGGCGAACATCGCGACATGTCGATGCTTGGCTGAGCGAATGTCGTAAATTGAAGCACGTTTTCTTCTTGGATGTCAATAAGAGGTGCTACCTCATCATTACAAATTAGCGTTCGAGTGATCTTTTCACTCAAGTCACATTCTATTCACGCAATACGCTAGTTTTTTATGCGACGCGACGCTGAGCGGAAGTGCAGCCAGTGAAACGAGTTCGTTATCTCTATCTATCGAACGAACTATTATTCCCCGTATTAAGCCGAGAATATCATACCATCGCTGTCTCGATTTCAGATTTATTTAAACTTCCTTTGCCAGTGTTAGTGCTGAACAACCGAACACCAGCCGGCGCGCTCAGGCTGGCCATCGGGGACAGACTGGGAACGGCGTATATGTTTAGTAATCTACTGAAATGTAATACACAAGGCTTGCTCTAATAAATGAATAATGATAATTTATTATAATAGGGTGAAATGAAAATTACCGACAAAAAAAATTGCAAAATAATTGTACAAAATGTCAAAAAGTGATATTTTCTCATTCCATAAACGCATATATTTATGTCTGTATCATAACACTATCATTCCGTGGGAAACAATTCACGTTTCATATTGTATACTATACATTATAAAAATGTAACTGAAATCATTTATTTCTAGCTGTTTGTTGGCGGAAAATTTAATTTATTTTCTAATGTCACGTGCGTAAACAAAACTGCGTCATCTGGGACGGATACGGGATTTGGAACGTGACCGGGCCGAGGCAAACTATGTGAGGCATGAATTGGTATTTTTTGTATTTGAAAGAACAAAAAAGTACAAGGTACTGAAGCATTCTGCCTAATCGCCTTTTTTCACATAATTATATCGTCGGTAGTCCCTGGTGGTCAATTGTTCTGTTTCCGAACGCCTGGCGGTGAAATTATACGGATGTTTTCAACATTGAGTGCTCAAGTCCATTAAACTACACTTTTTTGCCTGTCTGCTTTTGGCGTAACCTAATTAAAGTGGGTTGCAGTTCAACCAGAATCGAAGTCAATACAAAACAATTTAACTCGTGACCATGGCCCAAATATATATCATATATGCCACTAGGAATAGTAGTTTTATTGACAGACGTGTTTCTCCTGGCAACGTATCCCTCTATAGGGATTACACAAACAGAGAGCATAATGCAAACATCGAGGAGTTGGACTATGTAGCCTGGTAACCTTTTTGTTTTTCGTATACATGTATATGACTCGACCCTCTCCGTGCTATAACATATGAGGTTCCCCGCTGTATAAGTGGGTTACATTGTTATCTTAATACACATTTCCCGATTTCAGAAGGCTCGTTCCCAGATTTACCCATAGTTGCGTTATCATGTATATTTCAACAAGAGATGAAAACTTTGAAAATTAAATTAAAACCAAATCCAACAAGAGTGTCGAGTTCATGACTAGAAGACTTGTTATTATAAAAACAATGACAGGGCAACGCCAAAGCGGGTGAAATTCCACACGTTATTACCATGTGACATGGTATACACTCATTAGTGGAGGAACCAATTCGATCAATTTATTTTAGAAATTTACATTTCATTTCGCAGACGATCGGACTAGGTGGTAATGATAAAGAAAGAGAGCACTGATTGGATGACTGACATCGCAGTGGTATTGTCTTCACGATTGGGCCAATGATAATCACAAACACAATGAGACTTGTACGAAAATTGTATTCATTGTTTAATTTATCTTGGTATTTTAATCCAACAATATGACACATTCAATAGAATTTTTGTTTATAAACGGAATGTTAATATTATTGACATGTGGACTCTAAACAATAGTAAATATGCAAAATAGTTTTTGAAATGGTGATCTGCCTAGTAAAACTGGTCGCTTTATGCAGGTGTTCTTTATATAGAGGTTAACCGAAACACATGTTTGACTGTATGTCACGTGTCTACTGTAAATGTATATTTTATTGAAAGCCTTTAACTTTATTTTTAAATAAATCGATCTGTGGACCAAACTTATGGCAGTCACGACTTATGTGTGTCGTAGTCCGATTAACTTCGCAACTCATCGGTTCGAGTTACTTTTCATGGACAGCATTAATCCCATCATGCATTACTGTTTTGAATGATACATCGAGCTAAATATAACTAGCATTGTAAGTATACAATGTTCAAACTATGTGCAATTCAGTGGCAACACGGTTACAAAGAATCGTTCTATACATTTGGAAGCGTAGAACCTAATGGGTAGGCTGGGAAAACAGATGAAGCAATTGAAGTGAAGCGCAGCTGATCCGGGAATTGCTTGTTGGGGATTGCATCACGTCGAATTTTAATAATTTTGGGATCAGATTAATTCGTCAATCAGAAAATACTGTGTGTGAATCGGTAACGTGAAGACGCCCTAAGGTGAGGACAAATCCTAATGCCCTAGTATTTGGTTTATTACAAATGAAGTCACTATTATTATGTCATGGGTTAATTTTTCATGAAGACGTTCGATTTGGAAAAACATAAATAAGCAAATAAAAACTAAAATATCGATAGACTTATTTATGTTCTGGCGTCCATGTATGATGTATTTAACGCACAGTATTACATTCTAAGATTAGGGCACGTTTATTTATTGTAAGATGTTGTAATCGTGACAAGCGACATTTTTTGTTTGTTTGTTTTTTTCTGCAAGAAGGTCTGACATCTTGCAGATACTGTAACATTGGTTGTTGTATCCCGGGTATGGCTTATGTTCATTCATATGTCGAGACCTTTCGATGAAATATAGGCGACGATACAACCTTAGATATACACTCGGGGACGATAATTGTACATTTACTAGCGTATTTGAACATGTATGTGTCATGTTGATGGTATTTATATGCGCTAATTGACCTTTGACGCGAATGGCCGCTGAAATCTCGTCGAGAGCGAGAGAGTCACAAGACCTCAAATCGTGAGTCACGTTCTCTCGGCATTGCGTTCACTGTTCTATTGATTTATGTAACCAATACTTGGAACAGTGGGAACGATGATGGGAGCGAATGAAACAATATTTCAGGTGCAAAACAAGTCTCGTGTGTTTCTCGCTCTCGGTGAGATCTTGGCGTTATTTGCGTCAAAGGTCTATTGCGGGAAATATTCGACGATTCACCATGGTTTCGAATTACTGATCGCTGCAGTATTTAATTCGGGGAAAGGGCCGATCAGCAAACGTTTACAAGACAATATAAATTCGAAAAACAAAACATTGTTTATTTATGAAATTGTTATTTCCACGACCAGCTCTATCCGCCTAAGTCAAAATTAACATACAGATATGAGTTAAAGATCTGTGGTAATAATTGTGAAGCAGTTGTTTGAGAGCAACCGATACTCATGCATTCGTCATCAATTTAAATCAGCACGCAAACTCAATACACTCAGTAAAGTGATAGCTTATAGCAAAATGGCAGCTGCAGGTGATGGCAGGACACAGTCTAATTACATCTGTACCAGCTCACACACAAAACCGCCGACATTTCGTTGTTCATAAACAATTTTTCTTGTGATGTATTTCTGTAACTGCC